CATAAATATATATATATATATATATATATATATAAATTGATGAGTTGTATTTCGAATCAAAACGAGTAGAACATAAACAATTTTTGTTGTTTGGTTCGTTAACTTAACGAACAAATCGAACACGAGCTATTCGCGAATGAGCTATTTTGATAGCCCTAGAGATGAGGATGCAATTCGATAAGATAAAGTCAAACAAAATTGAATTAAAATATAATTTGACTTATTTGATTTGATTTGGTTTTGATTTAAACAAATTTTGAATGCCTAATGAAGGTGCGTGCATTCGATTTTATGGATGGAAGCTAATTGGTTAATGAATTTATTTTAACTCGAATGTAATTCAAGTTTAATCAATGTTTTCAAAATTAAATTAATAATCAAAATTCAAATAACTTCTAAATGTAACGAACAATCGAATACCGCCCTCACTACTGGCAAATTGATCATAGGGGGACTCGAACCAGTGATCTAAGGGCACTTACGACCTTCAAAGAGATTGCTCTACCAACATGCCACGACTAGCGGCACAACTATAATTTAGCAACTAAACTTTAACTTTTACATACATGCCACCTTATCTACACATGAGAAGGTGTATTTCAGTTTTTTCGAGACATGAAATTTTTGGTGGTATAAATGTAAAAACTAAAGATTAGGTGTTAGATATATTTATGCATAGGAATCAGGTGGTATGTAAATGCCCCCATAAAAAATAACACTTACCTTATAAAAATACAAACATTGAAATTTTGCTTCCATTAGCCCTGACAGTACAGGAATTACATGGGTGCAGCAATGGGCATGATAGGCGTTGCTCAGATATAAAACCACAGAATTATTCTTCAAACATATCACTTCTGCAATAGAAATTCATTTTGTTTTCGAATGCATATAATTGGATTAAAATCCTGCAATTCAAGAGACCAATGACTTATTGAAAGCCACATTTTGTAGTTGAACAATGCTGCTGTCGATATTAAAACTCATTATTAACAAAAGAATGATAAATAGAGATATAGATATGAACATTAGTAAACTGCGAATACAATATAAATATGAAAATTTAAAAGTTATTAGGAACGTTAGGGGTGAGCTTTTGATTGGTTTTGGTTGAATCAATTTATAAATTGGTCGGATCCATTGCAACCGAAATCTGCGATCTGAAAAATCAAGCCAATTAAAATTTTGATAAAACCAAGTCCACTTGACTGAAATTTAATACAGTTTAAACAGTTTAATTATAAACAAACCAAAGTTAATTGTTAGTTGGAATTCAATTATGAACAGACATCAAGAATTATATACCTTATGTATATAATATTAATTTAATTTTCATAAATCCTTTATTTAATTTTGAGTTTTATGTTTGTTTGGTTGAAGGAATCATGTCATAGTTTTTTGACAAAAAAAATTTTACGTTTGTTGTGACTACCTAACACAACCCTCTATTTTTTTTGCGTTCGGGACTTGGGAATAGGCGATGACAATATTTGGAGAATCAAAAAGAAAAAAATTATGAATAAAAATAATTTGCGGAGGAATAATAATCTGTAACAAAAATAAAAAACTTCGTTATAAAATATTAGTTTAGATGTATAAGCTATAAAAATTGAAAAAAATATAACATAATCCGTAGAGAGTCTAAGTGAAAAAATTTGTGATGTTAAGAATTTTATTTTTAATAAACTTTATAATATATTAGATGCTAACGAGCTGAAAGATTTATGTATAAACTTGTATAAACCTGTCATATAAAGAATCTTAAGAAAGATAAATAATTAGTTCAAGTTTATGAAGGTTGAAAATCAAAACAAAATTTCTTATATGAGAATATTTCATA